ATATAAATTTTGGTGTCTGAAGGGTCATGCTATCTCTGATGGAGCCATGACTACAGTACAACAACCTATTACCTTAGCACTTCTGTTGTGTGCAGCAAAATGAAAGTAGTTACCTATTCTTGGTACAAGGTTTATCTAGGTAAACAGCTATAAATATCTTGAAGGAAAAAGCTGCAGGTGTTAGTTTTTTCATTCGCTGACCAATTGTTCATAAACTTTATAGTAGTTGCATGTAAGTGATCAAAGTTTGTATTAAGACCAGAGAAAGGCTGCACTAATTCTAAACCTGTCTGTAGAGATGAGGTGAGCAGACCTGCTTTTCATCCCTCCCATGTCCTGCATAGCTAGCTTAGCCCCAGAAATAATAACACACAAATTATATTCTTTTAAACACTGCCTAGCTCATTAGTTCCAGCCTCTTCTTGGCTAACTCTCACATCTTGACTAACCCATTTCTAATAATTTGTGTAGCACCATGAGATGGTGGCTTACCGGGAAGGATTCTAGCCTATGTCCATCTTGGGTCGGAGCTTCATTGTGTCTGCCTCAATGCCTTCTACCCAGCAGCCTCTTCAATGTCCTTCTTTCTCTTGAAGTAGCTGGTGCTGCCAGGAGCAGACGTGTCTCATTGTCATGAAAAGCCCTAAGTTTTTAAAACATTTAAAATGCCATATTCTGTAGTCTTTGAAAGATATGAGGAATACATATCTGAAATATATCTATGCACATATAAAAATCTAACTAACATGACTACAAACTTGACTATTATCGATGATTATCTATTAACAACCTATATACATTACATTTTTAAATGAACTATACAATCACAATACCTTAATCAAGATTAGAAATATTCATATACATATAACAAAATTGATCTTAAAATCCATACTAATGCAAATTATTCATATATATATACCTCTTTAACTGTAAAAGAACATTTATAAAAAAAAATTTGGGAATATGGATGTAGTTTCTTCTCTCCAAACTGCTTCCTGGCGAATGGGGTTGCTGTTATTTAGGTCTTTCATGGTAAAACCTGTGTGGTAGGTACATCTCAGTTACCAGTTGAGTGAAGTAATTTTTTGAGGGTGATCACAGCAACCTTTCAGGAGGGCATGGTCTATCATACCATATTGGGATAGAAGCAATCCACAGGGTCTCATCCTCTGTGAAAACAAAAATAAGAATTTTTTTTTTTTTGTTTTTTTGAGACAGGGTTTCTCTGTGGCTTTGGAGCCTGTCCTGGAACTAGCTCTGTAGACCAGGCTGGTCTTGAATTCACAGAGATCCACCTGCCTCTGCCTCCTGAGTGCTTGGATTAAAGGTGTGCGCCACCATCGCCCGGCTTTTTCAAATGACCTTAGATCCAAAGTTT